ACAAAATTGATATGTGGGGTTTAATGTGTTAAAACAAGCATATGATAATGAGAGACGGCCGTAGTGGAGAGCTTCGCAAATTTTGACCGACTGGGGTTTTTTAACGTGCACCCAAGTTTGAGCACACGGGCCTGCAGCAGTTTCGCCTCCATCAAAAATACGGCAGCCGCAGCGACATTCAATCCCAAGGCCTGCGGGTCTGCAGCGAATACCTTAGCCACCTAGACCATTGTGGCGGGGCAGCATAAAGCAAACAACCGATATTCTCGTTTACCAACGGCGTCGTATGTGCCAACAACAAAGCCTCTTTCCCCGGTACCACTTTGCCCCGCCACGATGGCCTAGTGACTAAGGTACTCTGGCTTGCCGAGCCTTGCAGTTCGCGGGATTGAATCCGGCGACGGAAGCTGCATTTCATTTCCGACTGAGGCGGCAAATGCTGTAGGCCGGTGCTCACATTTAAGTGCAGGTTCGAGAACCCAGGTTGTCGATATTTCTGGAGCCCTCCACTACGGCGTCGCTCATAATCATTGGTGGTTTTGGAATGACAAACCCCACAAATGAATCAATCAATCATCACTGTACCAGTTTCTCGAAGAAAGGTTCATTCTGGTTACGTCCTCAGTGTTTGCAATTTTTCGTCTTTAGGAGTTTTCAGCCTGCCACGCAAAAAGTTTTCCATCGTGATCCCTTAAATTGTTGCAACCATTCTCGCGCTTGAGGCGCGTAGCCTGTTCACGAAAGTCGTTCAATTCTAAGCCACATATGTTCCGAGAATACTGTTCCGTGTAATATTTTCGAATGATAGTAATAATATCTGAGTATAACGTCTCAACGCCACAATATGTTTATGAGAGATGCCGTAGGGAGGGCTCCGTAATATATAAACCACTGGGGTTCTTTAAAGTGCATTAAATATTGTACACGGGCCCAAACATTCTCGTGTCTATGAAAAATGTAGCCGCCAAGCCCCGATTTGTTCACGCGACCTTACGGTTAGCAGTTCAAGCACCTTCTTCACTAGACCACCATCGTGTGGCCAGGAGTATTCTGTTTTAGGTCATTCACCTGCCGCGCAAATTTAAGGCACTGCACATCTCATTCAGCATTTGAGGTCCTCAGGGCTTGGTTCTTTATCGCAATTTCTTCATTCTCTCAGTTTTCTGTAACCAAAAAGTTTTATTATTCTTTAGTTCTTTGCGAAAGGCTCGCTCGATTGTTAAATTGAAATAGTTGATCACGAGGCTACGTTCACGGTTAAGCTTGCCAAAACGTGCTCTGATAATCTTCGACATCCCCTAAACGAACAGCTATGGGGAAAATACAACATGAAACAAATAACAGCTATGTCAGCAGCGGCAGGAGCTATGGAGCAAGAAATAGACTGGTTTCTAACCTGCGTAAAAGTCTGTGAGCACATGAGAATCCAGTCGCCACCCTTGCTGCTAAGTGTTTTGCACTTTCTTATAGCTTGTTTAAAACGAGAAGCATAACCCAGATAACTGCCTTCAGATTAATAACTAGAAGGTTAACTGAGTTTTTAATGATTCATTTCAGTGTACCTTTAGGTGCTGCAATTATTCTTGGCCTGTACATTTCGTGCATAAAAAAGATCGGTGCCAGCAACAGCTGACTGGTATGTAGCAGTATTACAAAAATGTTTTTACCTTATTGAAAAAAAAGTCCCGCATAAGGGTATTGATAAGAAGACCACTTGCCCTTCCATTAACCATCAGAATTCAACGCCACCATGGTTGTATTTGGGTGGACTCAAAAAGGAAGCAGAACCCAAGTTAAACGTTGCCAAAGTAGCCAAGCCTTGCTATTGAATAGCTCATTTTGTACTCATATGGTCCAAAAGCGGCCTGATGAAAAAAGTTAGTCGTATATAACCACGAATATTATCATTTTCAAACAGCAATGAAATAGAAACTCGAGCATAGCTCTTTTTCCTCTTCCCCTATCTTCGAACCAGTAGAAACCAATAAAAATGTTCAGAGCCCCCGCATATCGCTCATGTAGAAATATCATGATCGAGTAATTGCCAGGGACAGAGAAAAACAAGCAGGCCTGCACGGAAGGTGCAGTACGGTTAGGGTGGCCCAGGAAGGTGCAGTACGGTTAGGGCGGTTAGGATTGGCGCAGTACGGTTAGGGTACTAGCCACACTAGTACGGTCACAACTAAAGCTGGACGAGCTGCCTTTCAGAGACTCTTTCAGGGCGAAGCTCCAAAATATTTGGGCCTGTACATGCTTGTCTCTTGTGTCACTAGTTTGCGAGGTTCCAAGGGCTATAGGTCAAAGGTCACCGCAGCACCACCACCCCCTCATTATGTATATATATGTACTGCAGCCCGTGCGCCCTCAGTGACAGGACACCTAGTAGTCTTCCCCTCCCCTTTCCCCTTGCGCCTGTCATCGTCCCTTGCACACGCCTACGGCCGTTACCCTCGATATCGACGCCTCTTAGTTACCATGAAGCGTGCTTAATGGATTGAATTTGCTTCAGTTTGGCTGAAAACAAAAATCCCTGTGGAAGGCAAAGAATATACAGGCTAAAAAGTCTGACAAGCTAAGCGTTCACTTCTTCGGGCAATTTCCCAATTCGCCTTCCGGAAAATCTGTCAAGACGTTCGCATTACAGGCTATCTAATTACACCGTAATGTTTAAAAAATGCAGTTATGTTTTTTGGGGGGTAAACCAGGTACCACTATAATAACTTGCAACCTGCAGAACACACCACATTTGGACTCTGTAAAATATTTGAGAATAATTCATAACCATCTCTTCTGACATGCCCCCGTTAAATACAAACTATATATACATAGCTTAAACATACATTGATTGAATACATAAACATACACTACATAAATACATACATACATACATACATACATCATACATACATACATACATACATACATACATACATACATACATACATACATACATACATACATACCTACTATACATCATACATACGTACATACATACATACATACATACATACATACATACATACATTGAAGTACGCGCGCTGGGAGCCCTACAAAAGGCTGTGCAAAAGGGTCGATCGGGATGCATGATCGGCACACTTATTTGGTTACAAAACGTATGTACGCCCCATATCCAGAATTCTAATAAGTTTTATATTCTCAGTCAGCACCGTCTATAAACTGTGTCCTCTTGTATATATACTCTTAAAAGAGAGGCCCTAAGGCTTTGATTACCGATATTCATATAGCCGATGGTGTGCTCTAGTTAGAAGCACAGTCGCCCTCTCTTGGCTGTTGAGGATACTAATAGTACAAGCATTCCTAAGATTATCAATATACGACAAACTTGCAAACATTTTTATGTATCAGCGAGGCTTATTTTTTCTATATTATTGGCCTCAGTTTTATACACCGCAGCTGAGCTACGTACAAGCACTTGTTCACCAGCCAATGTTAAAGTGAATGAAGTTCCTTGCAATGGTCATGAAAGACAGTACCTTTACTCATTTTGGCTATATATATCCAATGCATTCGAAAAAGTTGCCTTACCGGAGTCTATAGTGGTGCTCAGCCAGATGCGGGACCCTGTACGCGTTCCGCAGAATAAAAATAAAGTTATTTTCCTTCGTTTCTCCCTTACCAGGTGTTGACAAGCTTTTAGAGGAGGGCATTCAAAAGGGACAATCTTAAGAAATATAATAAGGTGCGTCACAATCTAAGGAAGAATCCAGCATGGGTGTTATCTTCCAGATCTTCAATCAGTCATCTTCACTAGCGCATTTCCCAGTTTTTTATCGTGATTTTTGGCGGAAATTCTGGCGGTTGTAATAGAAATAAGAAAGCTCCCCTTCGACATCAAATATGGCCATTTAAAGTTACAGATTCTTTATTTTTGTGCTCAGCATAGCCCTCAAAAAGGGACTCTCATTTATCACGAAGTTTTCCCTTTCTGGTCCCTATCCACGTAACTGTAACCAGATTATTCTGGGTAACAGGCCACAAAGTGATAAAACAACAATGAAATCGCACATGCTCCGGCGAAAGCTACTCTCTGTGTTCCGAAATTCTCAATTATACCGACAACAGCTCTCATAAATCGTGACAGATTTAGAAGGCGCGCCAAATTGCAAGACAATGAAAAAACATCAATCACTCATATAAACGAGTATCGACACCTCATGTTTCCTTGGCGTAGGAGTTTCTGTTGACAACGACAAATGGCTTTTATTTTTACAAGATCTTACTGTCGCTTCCAAAAATTAAAGTATTATATTCCCAGAGGTGGTCTGGCTCCGTCCCCACGTTGCTCGTTTTACTACAATGGGAAAAGAATCCAGCACAATTTCTTATCCTGACACCGCTTCAATTTTGGCTGAGAAAATTTTCCAAAACGGTGTTGAATTGCATTATATTGAAAGTAAAGTTTTAGGTATTCAATCCTTTGGAGCATTAGGTCATTGTAGATCTTCGTTCTGCGGTACAGAAATATTTAAATGAATCAGGGTGGCTTTCATCTTGAATAGCATCATTATTTATTCCAAGTATTGTGTATAATTAGTCCATACAATATTATGTGATAACTTTAATTATGATAACTCCTTTCTTGGTCAATGCCCTCATAGTGGGCTGGGAGCCATTGTAAGTATCATCATCTGCGCAAACGGCATCCAGAATCGCAGCGACGGTCCGCTCACAGCCGAGGGCGCCCCTTATTCCACTAATGACTGAAGCTCGGCGAAGTGCAGCTACGTGCAATTTTCGAGACCGCGTCGGCCCAGCCCAAGCAGCCGTCGGGGCAGTGTCTGCTGAGACTTAACCATGACCTCAAGAACATCATTGACAACCCTGTGCCAGGTATCTTCGTCGAGCCCGAAAAAGGCAATGTGACCTACGTCCACGCCGTCATCGTGGGACCCGACAACACGCCGTGACAGGGAGGCTTGTTGCATTTCGTGCTCAAGTTCCCCCTCAACTACCCAGCCTGTCCACCGCAGGTATGCTTCATGACGACAGACGGCGGAAGGGTGCGATTCAACCGAAAACTGTACAGCAGTGGGCTCGTCTCGCTCAGCATTCCGGGCACGTTTCATGGACCCTCGTGGAACCCGGAGATGACCCTGAAGACGGTGGTGGTTTCCATCCAGTCATCACTCATCGAGCAGCCGTTGGCCAACGAACCTGCACTGGGACGGGAGTTGGAAGCTTCGCTCGAAAAGACGATCAGTTGCAACGCAAAACTGCGCTCCCAGACCCTCAGGGTTGCGATTTGCGACGCACTCGAGGCTTGCCTCCTCGGCAACTCATTGTACCCGCAGGACCTGCAGACGGCAGTGATAAAGCACTTCGTACAAGATAATGACAAGTACGAAAGTGTAGCCTTCTTCCTACTTGGCGAAGACTCAAGCAAGGAGGAATCTCAGCAGTACGCAGCGCTACTCGAGAGACTGCAGGACGTGTATGATCGAAACTGCAAAACAAGCCCAACGATGAGAAAAATCTGTCAAAGCGACTACAAGGGCATCATGAACTTTTAAGACGCATGGAGACTTTTTTTGGAGCCTAAAAAGAGTTGGCAAACCTTTAATAAACCATGGCGTAGCCAGAAATATTTTCGTGGGATGTGGTCACACCGACCCGACCGGGGAGAGGAGGGTGGAGCCATGCTGAAGTCTGAACCTCCTCCCTCCTACACTCCGGATCTCTGTGACGTGACTATCACTGGTATCATCAGCGATTTAGGGGGGCATTTTGGTGGTTATATTCGCATAAAAAGAGCTTCCTATTAACATCAAGTATGGCCATATATAGTCACAGATTTTTTATCTTTGTGCTCAGCCCACGCTCCAAAAAGCGACTCTCAATTATCACGTAGTTTTCATTATCTGGTCCCTATCCACGCAAATGTAATCGGATTAATCTGGATACTAGGCCACAAAGGGATAAAAATGAATGAAATCACGCACACTCTGCCGAAAGCCACTCTCTGTGGTCTGATATTCGAAATCATACCGGCAACAGCCCATAATTCAAAACAGATTTAAAAGGCGTGTCATAATGCGAGACACTAGAAAAAGAATTATCGCTCGTCTAAACGAGTATGGACACCTCTTGTTCCCTTGGCGTAGGAGTTTCTGTTCAACATGACAAGAGGCAGTTATTTTTACAAGATTGCACTGTCCTTTTCCGAAATTCAACTATTATATGCAAAGAGCTGGTCTGGCTCCTTCCCCTCGTTGCTCGATTTATAACGTTGGGGAAAGAATGGAGTACCACTTCTTATCATGCAACCGCTTCAATTCTTTTGATCAGAAGTATTCTCGAAATGCTGTTCAATCGCATTTGATCGGATTTTATAGTTCCAAATATTCTATCCTTGGGAGCATTAGGTCATTTTCACTGGTATCATTGTTATGCGGTAAAATTTTTTTAAAGGAATCAGGGTGGTTTTGATCTAAACTAGCATCATTAATTCATTCTAAATATTCTGACTATTAGTCATACAATTTTTATGTGATCACTGTTATAAATAATTAATTCCTTGGCCAATTCCTCAGAGTGGGTGTGAGCAATTTGTATAGGTGATAATAATAATCATGATCTTCGCAAACGGCCAGCAGTGCAACGACGTCAGCTCGCAGCCACCCCCGCCCCTCATTCCGCCATTGATGAATTTGGGCAAAGTGCAGCTGCGTGCAGTTTGGAGACCGCTTTGTCCCAGCCCAAGCAGCCCTCGAAGAAGTGTCTGCTAAAGACTCATACCCCGACATGAAGAACATATAACCCTGTGCCTGGAGTGTTCGTCATTCGCGAAACAAGCAACATCACCACGTCCACTCCGTCATCGTGGGACCGGACAACACAACCGTACCAGGGAAGCATTTTCCATTTCGTGCTCAAGTTCCCCCTCGACTACCCGCCAGTCCCCCTCAGGTACACTTCATGACGAGTGACGGCGGAAGGGTGCGCTTAACCCGAACCTGTACAGCGGTGGGCTCGTCTCACTCAGCAATCTAGGCACGTTTCACGGACCCTCATGGAACCCGGAGATGACCATCCAGACGGTGCTTGTTTCGATCCAGTCGTTGCTTATCGAGCAGCCTTTGGCGAACGAACCGCCCCGCCGCAGTGGTCTAGTGGCTAAGGTACTCGGCTGCTGACCCGCAGGTCGCGGGATCGAATCCCGGCTGCGGCGGCTGCATTTCCGATGGAGGCGGAAATGTTGTAGGTCCGTGTGGTCAGATTTGGGTGCACGTTAAAGAACCCTAGGTGGTCGAAATTCCCGGAGCCCTCCACTACGGCGTCTCTCATAATCATATGGTGGTTTTGGGACGTTAAACCCCACATATCAATCATCATTTGGCGAACGAACCTGCATTGGGACGCGAGTTGAACTTGGCTCGAAAAGACGACCGATTACAACGCCAAACAGCACTTCCAGACCCTCAGGGTCGTGATTTGCGACGCACTCGAGGCCTGCCCATATACTCGGCAACTCGTCGTACCCGGAGGTCCTGCAGCACGCTGTGGCGAAGCACTTCGTAGAATAGTATGCCAAGTACGAAAGTGCAGCCCGCTCCAAACTTGGCGAAGACTCAAGTGTAGAGGAATCTCGGCAGTATCAAGTGCTACTCGAGCGACTGAACGACTTGTATGGTCAAATACTGCAAAACAACCCAACAATGAGGAAAATGTATGAAAACGACTACAAGGGCATCTTGAACATCTAAGGCTCATTGGGACTTTTTTAGAGCATACTAGATACTGGTGCGATACTGCGAGATCAACGTCGTATATTTCGCGGACACGCTTAAAATGTTAGCAAACAGTTAATTAACCATTGGCGTAGCCAAAAAACATTTTCGATGGGGAGGGTATCAGTGATCCCACCGGAGAGAAGAGGTTGGAGCAGGCTCGTGCCTGATTCCCCCCCTCCTACACTCCCGGTCTCTGTGACGTGACTACCACCGGTAGTTTAAGCAGATTGTGTTTTTGTATATCACAGTCATGAGACTCCCCCGTCCCATGCCTAATCCTGGGAAGATAGGATTAAGTAAAAAATAAAAGTAAAGTAATCACTGTAAAGTACAGTAAACGACAGGTACAGTGGGGCATTTTGATTAAGGCCTCTCATCGCACCATTTACTCAAATAGTCTTTGAAAACGAATCATTGCGACGTGTACTCAACTATTCTTTCAAGTCGATGATGGCACTGTTTGATGCGGAATGAGAGGTAAACGCAGCTTGTTTTTTTCACATTAATAATTGATTTTCGCTTTCGCTTATTTCCTGAGCGAATTTATTACTGTTGATGTTCATGACTGCACGCCTATGGGAATACTTTTTTTTTATTTTGAGCTCTATATGTCAAGCAGCCCTGACGTAGTGAAAGCTTTTCGTCAACATTTCTTACTTTACTGCGTGCATCCAAATATGCTTGCAATACGCAATAAGTAATCGTTTTTGTAAGTTATTCGGCACATTGACAACACGATTTCGCATGCGTTATTTTTCGGGTAGACTTTATCGCCCCTTTTGTTGACTATAGGGCTCCCTGTGACTTTCGATAGCAATGAAGTAGTCCAATCGTAGAGGTATTGTCGTGCAATCTGCCAGGGCAAGGTAATTACTGTTGAGCAATGTTTACTTAGTCTGAAACGAAAATGCACCTGGGACCAGACTATGCATACTCACCTAGAAATAGCTTGTTCGCTGCGTGCACCCGCCAGTAAACCTAAATACGCGCAAAAACGTATGATGTTCTCTTTTTTGGTGTTTTCATAACTCCCGTCACTCTGCTCCCTGAAACGACAGCGTTCCGGCTAAGTGTCTTCTGTTCTTAGGAAGCCTACGTCAACATAATGAAAAATGTACATACATGTATATCACCGTGCGGCATAGATATGTCATGAATACACTCTTCTAACAAGCGCGTATTCATGTTTGCAGCGCTTACGCTGGCGCGAAAAAAAGCAGCCTCGTGCCACACAAATTCTTGATTGGTCGGTTCACTAATGACGAAGGAATGAACTCCGGTTTCGTTTAGAGCATAGTGCACCATAATCAATTTCTCAGATGCCGGGTGTGTCAGCGTGAATAACATGAAATCGGGGAAAAGATACTTTCTGGTTACCAAAAAACTGGAAAACTTCATCGGTGCGCCCTCTTTTCTGAGGGCGATCAGGGAGTGGGGGAAGGA